AGGAGCAACAACCTACAAGAAATGCTGTCAAATTAGTAACCGCATCTCAACTTATAAATACTATTATAAATTCTCGATTAAGAGATCATAAAAATTACATCTTGAGATTGGTTCTCGCATTTGTCAAGACAATCATTGGTGTGAAGTTGTCTCAGTTCCTCGCTCAGATTCGAAATATCAACTCCACACAGCGGACACTGAACTACGCCATCCACTTCAGCTTCGTCGTAATCATCATTAATTTCCTCGCGTAATTTAAGTAACACATCAAGTTCCGCATCGTCGTCAGACTCCTCCTCATTCAAATTACAAGTCTCTGTCCTTGACCTCAATAACCTAGACTCAATCGAATTCCGTGAATACCCCTCGTTTATTTTCAATATTCCCTTCTTGTCCCCGCAATTAGGAGAGCGATTGCTACTTGTGACCTTGTAGCTGCAATCGATGCTCGAGGGTATTGATTCCAAGCTGCAATTTTCATCTGAATTGAAGTAAAAGCCCTCGATATTGGGGTTCAAGTTCTCCTTGCCAGGATTGGAAGAAGGCTTGGATGAATGGTGGAAATTATTGGAGGGTTTGAAGGGGATTCTTCGTTTTTTGGAGGTGGAAGTTGTGATTTTAGGTGTTTGTGTGAGTGGGGCTTGGAAATCATCGTCGTCGTCGTCGAGGACGGCGGCGCAGGCGGTGGGTATTGGCTGAGACGCGGTGCGTTTTGTGAGCATGATTTCAAACTTTGCTCTTAGGTTATGACGTTGCACTTGTTTTAAAATGGATGAAGAAACGGAAGGTTTTTGTTTAATTTTTCTCTTTAAGAGACTGGCCAAGTGGAGGGAAAATGGAGTTTTCCCTGCCTTTTCAAAACGATGGAGGTTTCAAATGATGGGCCGTTTTGTTTTGGGTTTTCGCCCAAATCCGACCAGGCTAACGAAACCCGGAGTAGGTTTGGGTGAGGATTCGGGTCTTACCATTTGAGGATAGAGAAGTGAACAATTCCTAAATAGCCATATTTACAAGATTAAACGAAGGGAAACTGTCCATATTCATCTTATTACCGTAATGCCACTAGTTCATTATACTCGACACGAGCAAATGACATGTTCCCACCCAAGGTTAAGCGAAATACCAAGTTCCCACCCTTGGTTTCATAAATTTCATTTTCTCAGCCTCAAATTAACATAAAAATGTTGAATGAAACGGTGAAAGAGTAAAATAGTCTTTGAACCCACACCATTCCAAACCACACCACAGCCTTCCCACTCCTCTCCCTCCCTCCTTTCTCTCCCAGATCCAGCTAACATCACTCTACCACTGCCACCTCTTCTTTTTCTTCTTCTCCTCCTCTCCTTCTTCGTGTCTTTCTTCTTCCCTCATCTTCACTCTTCTCACTTCTCGGAATAGGCTCCACAGTGGTTGGATTTGGTAGCCTTAAGGCCATCACGTTGTGGCCAGATTTGGCCACAGCATTATGGCCTTACGGTGGCCAAAATCCAACAGCCTCCACCTACTATTGGGATACTCCACCGCTGACCTTTGCCCTTCCAGTAATTTTGCTTCGCCGCAGACAACCATTTCCACAATTGTCGTCATCGCAACTGTGTTTTGAAAAATTGCTGGTTGTTGGATTTTTATGGGAGAGTGAGGATGGATTTTGATTTCTGGTTGATTTGTTGGGGTGTTTGATTGTTTTTGCTACATATTATTGGTTTTTTTAGGTTGATTGATGGATTAAAGTTGGTATTTTTGAAGTTTTCTACGACTGCCCTCCAAGTGTTTGAGAAAAGTCTAAGGGATTTGCTTTTGCTAGGAGAAGGGCTATTGTGCGATTGGGTTTCACAGATGCAGCTAGCTGGTGCAATTGGATAAGAGTGGTGGTGCGAAGCTGGGTGGTGATGGTGATTATGGTTGAGTTTTGGGTGGCTTTGTGGTTGAATTTGTCGTGTTGGGTGGTGGCAGCTGGATATTGATGGTGGTGAAAGGTGGTGGTGGCTGGGTGCTTGAAATCAAAAGTCAAGGGTAGTATAGTAATAGTACAATCTTAGCTGTTAATTTCATTAACAGTGTTAATTTAAGGTGGGAATCCATAATTTATGAAATCAGGGATGGGAACTTTACATTTTGCTTAACCTTGGGTGGGAACATGTCGTTTACTCTACGCGGCGCACTTGTCTCCATTTTCGCAATTCTTCTCCTCCAACCCATTTCACACTATACTCACCTTATTCATTTATTCTAAGCTATGTAATCATGAAAATGCACACAACATAACTACCTCTAACTCTAAGGGTGCATCTGGTTTAAGGAATGTTGGATTACTGAAAAGTTAGATTACCATAAAGATTACTAAAAATCTTTAGGAAAATGTGTTTGGTTAGTTGATGGGTATATTATATTAATATGTTTGGTTGGGAGGAATAAATTAGTGGGTATGTTATTTAAATAAATGAATTGTCATCTAATTAAATATTATTATTTATTTTAGATTATTATTTGGATTATTATAACCCCCCTACATTTAAAAACTTAGCAAAAATAACATCATAATAAAAGTTTGAAAAATCAACAACGCACTCCCAACAACCCAACCACTACCGGCAACCTAATGAAGCACGGAAGGCAAGAAATGGCCTCCATGTGACTTATGGCCATTTTCGACTAGAGATCTGGCCGGAAAACAGCTAGATCTAATTTGGTTGTTTCCAGCTACCAAATTAGATCTGGCCATTTTTCGGCCAGATCTCTCGTCAGAAATGGCCATATCGACGCACGACGGCCATTTTCGGCCTTCCATGCATCCTTCCGGTGGTGACGGCGGCTAGCCGTTGGTAGTGGTTGCCGACAACCGACGGCGGCTAGCCGTTGGCAGTGGTTGCCGACAACCGACGGCGGCAGATGGGTGGGGGTGGAGGTGGTGGCTTAGGTGGACTGCAATTTGTTTTGAATTCAAGGGTAATTTTGTCCAAAAAGTTATTTAATTGGGGTGAATAGTAAAAGCCATATTCATGTAATAATTTAAAAATGAGGGTATTATTGTCCTTAAATTTTATTAATAAAGGATAGAATTGTAACAAAACAAAAAATTACCTTGGTAATCTTACAATACCTAAAAAAATAGAGGTAATCAAATTACCTTCAATAGTACTAACAGTAACTACTATTGGTTTTTTAAGATTACCGAAATCTTATATTACTTGACAATCAAACGTGGTAATCAAGTAATATAAGATGACATAACCCTAGTAATCTCACATAGCCCCCAACCAAACGCCCCCTAAGTGCCTATTCATTTATTATAAGAGCATCTCCAATGGTGCTCTTTATTTATACTTTATTTTAAAGAGCATCTTTCATATAAATAAAAAGCATCTTCATTAATTTTTAAATATAAAGAATACATTTTTTATTCAAATCCAATAGACTCTTTAAATTTAATGAAGATACTCTTTATTTTTAAGAAAGAAACTTAATGGGAGGGAGAATTAATAAATAAAATGCATAAGAACTTGTAGTTTATTAATTAAAATTAGGATAGAGAATGAAATTTGACTCTCTAAATATGGAGAGCCAAACTCACTATTTAATTTATATTTTAAAGATAAAAAGTATGTTGGACTCTTATTTTTATGGATAGACTCTTTATAATAAAGAGTTTGTATCATATAAAGAGTCATTTGGAGATGCTCTAAGCTATATAATCATGAAAATGCATACAACATAACTACAGCTAACTCTAAGTGTCTAGGTGATTCGATAGGAACTTTTGGGTGTATTAGTCAAAAGGTCCTGAGTTTGAATCTCTCATTGATTGCTAATAAAGGTAACCACTTAAATTTTTACTCAACCAGTAATTTTAGGGTCTTGAGACATTAGTTAAGATATGCATAAGCTAGTCTAGACACCCCTGGTCATTAAAAAAAAAAAAATTGCACACAATTTTGAGGTAACATAGTTTACTTAGCTAATGATGTATATATATATATATATATATATGTATTTTTAGTATATCTTGTTGAATAAAAACTTAACAAGTTTAGCAAAAATAGAAAGGAAGATGAATGAGTAATATAATATGGTTATAGCAAGTTGATCTAAATGCTTGAAAAGGCAATCTAGAAGGTTGAGTAAGCTTGCTTAAAACTTAAAAGACTCGAAGCAAATTAGTTGGCTATTGGTGTGTTTGTTTTATAATTTTAGGTTGGATTTTTGAAAAAGTTGAGTTGAGTGGTTATTACGAGGTATGATTTGAAAATTAACAAAAACACTTATAGGTTTGTTAATTTAGCTAAACACCTCTACAAATAAAAAAGTTTAAAAATTAACAAAAACACCCCCACCCATCCATTAAATGTTGGCATTCGACCATCACCATCGGAAAGTGACCGACAGTCGCTGTAATGGCACACAATCAGCTAGATTTGACTGTTCATGTGTTGATATAACATTTCTCAACCAAATCCACGATAAATCTGGACAAAAAATGCCAAATCTATGTCTAGATCTAACGACCAAATCTGGCCACGTTTGGTTGTCTACGATAGCCAAAGTTATGCAAAATTTAGGTAACTCTTCATTAATGTGACCCTTAAATATTTTGTTTGGTAGGTAAATAAATCTTAGGTCTAAATCAATTGGATTGTAGTATGCTTAATAGAATAACATCGTTAAATGCGCAGTTATAAATGCATTGTCTTTACATGTTTTAATCTACAAAATAGAAACGCTTTTAATATAGTTAGAAATGAAACTAGGATTTAGTTAAAACAATCCAAGAATTGCAATAATGCATTTGAATCAAATTTGAGATTTCACACAGGCATGAGGTTTCATCTTCAAACAAATGTCTAATGCTGCCTTTACCATAAATTAGGTTCCGCATCAAATTATATTTTTTTCTGTAAAAGGTAAAAGAAATCCTAGATAAATAATATAGTGATCTGCTACCACAGACACTAGTTATTCTCATCTTTTACTTTTTTAAAACATTATGTCTTAACATTAAACCATGCCAAAACACTGTCATACCACATAATAACTAGTAAGCACAAATCGCCAAACAAGATGTGATTATTACAGTCACTCAAAGTATTCAAAATCATAATTAGAAAAGTCTATAAACTAAAATGACTTCAGAAAACAATATGATTGATTTAAATACCACTTACAAAGTGTAGATATTATCACAAGACGGTCTCATTGAACCAGAAAGAAGCAAGCAAAATCAAACAACATTCTTCGATACTTTGCTCAACACACTGAAATAATCAACCAGTTCTCATGATAATGTGAACCCCGCTATCAGTTTCCACGATGTCACTTATCTCACCAACCTTAAGAGCATATGTAGCTTCCTCAAAAGGCTTCTGCATCTGACCTCGTCCAAAAGGACCTGAAGCAAAATTTTAAATAGGATCATTCAGATTAACATTTTGAAGAGGACATGTTTCAGATGTGCTATGCACTGATCCGAACGATTCAATGACCATAAACGCATACAAACAACACCCTCACAAAAAACTTGCATTTTTTTTGGGAGGCTTCTGACGTGTCTGGACATATATAAAAAGCACAAAACGCTAGGTGGGTTAGACAGGTCACCAATGCACTACTGTTAAGTATCCCCTTCAGCCAAAAGTTTAAGCTATTAAATAAAGTCCTAACATTAATATTTAAAATTTTACACGTTCCTTCACAAATAATGTGTATCATGGATCCAATGAGAATCATAAACGATTTGAGTTGTGTGTCATTAATTGAATGAGCACATCAAGATTTCAGTTGATTTAGATAATTAATTGAGAAAAAGAAATGATACACGAGTTATTTGAATACGAGACTGTTAACTTGATACTATTATAAGTAACCACTTACCAAAAGCTTGAGCTATACAAAACTTTTAACTTGATACTATAATAAGTAACCACTTACCAAAAGCTTGAGCTATTTGGTAAGAGGTCAATACAAAATTCAAGATTCAGCAACCATAAATAGTTCAACAAATAGTATCACTACATGAAAGAACCAAAAGGAGAGGCATTGTAGCCAATTCAAGAGAATCCATCATTATAGAGCCCTTTCTATGGCATTTATTTAAGAAGAAAAAAAAACGCCAATACAACCAATCAATTCTTCTGAAATCCTTCTAAATATGACAATAAACTAGAGTAACAAGAAAAATTTTACAGAGTTTATTTCAAAAAATTCAAATAATCTGATTGCAGTACTGCAGCACAAAGGTTTTGGTGACTGGTGAGCTTTCTTTGCATATGCTCAAAAATTAAGATTTGTCAGTTCAATAAACCAATACAAATCCTCAAATGCTAGAATTACATTATTATACATCCCATGTACCAATAAACAAACACATTACATCAACACTGCAATCAGCCATGTCCCCATTGAAATTATAATCAGTCATACATGGAAATTATAATCACGCTCAATCTAAAAAATTATTATAAATAAAGCCCTAATACCATAAGTTAAAAACATTAGCAATTGCATAACAAATTTGGAGCTATTACTATAACAGAGATATGTATTACTTCCCACTACGTGAACTTTTCTAACTGCTTCCACATGTTCAGAGTTCTTTTTTCTCACAATTCCAATTAAATCTAGCAATAACTTCACATACGAAACCCTAATCTCATCATATTCAATCCACCTATGACCCCGGTTCAATACTTCTCATAACCATATAAGTAGCCATAATAATAATAAAACTCTAGGGCTAATCCTAAATAGTTATAATACAACAATTTCAGCAAATCGATAAACGCAAAAATTCGCGAAAAGGTAAAATAAAAAAAAGTAATAAAACGGAATAGAAACGCACCGAGATCGCCACCGCGTTTGGCGGAGCTGCAATCAGAGACACGAGAGGCGACTTCGTCAAACTTAATCTTGCCGGAGACGATGTCTTCTCGGATGGTTTTGAGTTGAGAGATGGCACTGTCTTTGGTGGTGTTGTTGATGACCCGACCTTCCGGATCCTTCCATGAGGCCTTTCTTCGAGAGCCTTGATGTTTGATCAGGATGTGAGACGCCCTAACCTGATTGGCCGACGACATTTTAGGTTTTTTCTTGTGACTCTTATCTCTTTCTTTATCTCTCGTTGTTGTTGATGGCTTTCGATCTGCCGATGAGATCGAAGAATTCTTTCTCTTCCGATCCGACTCAATCTTCGCTACTGCTGCTCGGCTTTTGCCTCTAGAAGGAGAGTGTAGAATAAGTGGAACACTGGAGCTTTGTAATCTTGTGCTTTCAAAGTGAGGAGAAAGGAGTTTTCATACCTCGTTTTAGGTTCACCAGCACTCGAGCCTTTTTTGGGGTTTTCTCGACCCATAGCATTAATTAATCAAATAATAAAAAAATTCCTCAGAAATAACATAAACAATATATATCACGAGGATGAGTTAATAAATATTCATCTAATTACCTCTATATTATTTATTAATACCAAAAACTTAATAAAATGTAAAGTTATATTATTTAACAGTAATGTTAGAGGTACGAGTAAAAATCTTTATCAAGTGATGTGATAAGAAATTAATAAAAAAATAAATATAAAAAGTCAAATTCGTCAAATTCACTATTCCATTCATTTATTTTCATATCACTTTGTAAATATATCTTTGTAAAATTTCTTTATACATCTGACATTACTCATTATTTAATTATAATCCGAGGCACTTTTGCAAAGACTATTTAGGTGAATGACATTTTAACCCTAAATATATAGTGAAAAATTCTTATTTCCTTTGATTTTGAAAATATTCAATATTACTCTCATTTTTGTAAATTTAGATATTAAAAAGAGTAAAAAACTTTTTCCCACACAAGGTTTGCCTTGAAAAACTTTCCACTCAAAAAGTTTCAAAATACCACTTTTCCACATAAAGTTAGTATTCCGTTACTATCCAAAGCCCAATTTGGCCGCAAAAATTCTCTCCATCACTAGTATTGAACCTCTAGTCTCCTCCTTACAAAAACCCTTTGACTACAACACCTAATTTCTCAACGATTGTCGGCTATCGCAAAGCTAGAGTTTCCTATTCTTAGTGGATTTTTTATGGCGAATATTCAATTAATCACCACCATTTGATTCACCAGCCTCCACTCTACAAAAACCCTCTTACCTTGGCTCTTGGTAACTCACTGACCACTGACTGAGAAAGTGAAGTGTATTTTGGGTATTAACGAAATATAAACGTTGGGTGAGAAACTGGTATTTTGAAACTTTTTTAGTGGAAAAATGTCATTAAGGCAAACCTTGGGTGGACAAAAGTCGTCTACTCTATTAAAAATTAGCCATGAAAGGATAATATTGTCAATTTACCTCATATATATACTGTATTATATTATAGAGACAAATAAGACAATAAAGCTAATATAACCTAATGAATTGACAAAATGAAGTTTTAAACCCTGAATTCAAAAAATGCGGGTAACATTGTATGTTTTCAAAAGTAAGGGGGAAAATGTTCTTTCACAATAGATTGGGGTGAAAATTAATCCAAAGTATTTATTCGAAAATTATTATTAACGGTCATTTATTCTTCTACTCATTCAATTAAAACTAACCATATATATTAATATTTAACAAAAATAATTGTTTGTGAAGAATAATTACCAATATTTCAAAATATATTATAGAAATTTCAGAGAGTTTAGAGTAATTGTTCCTAATAAATACAACCATCTTTAATTTCCAAGAATTAAATTAGATTCATATGCCAACAACCAAATCAAATCCAAATAACAACTAATAAGACTAAAACGAAAAAGAATATTTTCAAATTCAAAAATCCATGGATTCTCCTAATGGTAAAGGCTTGGTGCTAAGGGGTTTTCTGATGAATTCTCTTAGTGGTAAAGGCTTGGTGCTAAGGGGTTTTCTCCCTTGTGCTCCCAGGTTCGAGTTCAAATCACAAGAACGGTTGGTAATATTGTTGGTCACAGACCGCGGGGCTTGACCTGTTTTTTAGAAGCCTTGTCAGGTCGGAGGACTAACCGAGGTACGCGTAAGCTGGCTCGGATAACCCCAATAACAATATATATATATATAATATATATTCAAATTCAATATCACCATTATGGGTTGCTATATCAAATCAAATCAACTTTTTTTTTTTTTTTTTTTGGTTTCTTTTTTGACAGTTAAATGCACCTCATGGGACTCTAAAATTATCGATCAGATAAAAGCTCCAGTGGCCATTCCTATTAACATGTGAGAGATTCGAACTAAGAACCTTTTCAGTAATACATCAAAAAGTTTATATTAAATCACTCGATCACCTAAGATTGATTAACATTCATGTATTGATACACATTTCCCTTGTGAAATGATGGTTAATAACTTGCACATTTTTGAGATAGGTGTCCCATACTCAAAAATATATTTGAATCCATTTGATTTTTGATTTTAAGTTGGTCAAAGATTCATTGTCTGCTCTGCTCTAATAATCCCAACAATAATACAACAGTTTGTGTATATAATATTGAACAATCGAGTCATTAGCTTATTTTAGTCTCAATAATCTAAAACATAATAATAAGAATAAAGAAACGAATCAGACGACATCAGATATTAGTTAAACTGGAAACGACAACGCTTCGGCTGAAGAAATACTAGCCAGTACAAACGTGCACCGTGTTAAAAAAAACACTATCACTGGTCCAGTGTTGAGAAACAGAGAATCCTCTTGACTCTTTTTCTCTTTCATTTCCGTCTATTACCTGCCAGATCCTGAGATTCAAGATCCAATCGGTAAGCAAATGTGGTTACTTGAAGTTTTTTTTTTTTTTTTTTTGCTTATATTGTTTGATGAAGAATAGTTTGTTGAATATGATTCGGTTCGGCACGGTGTAGCCGTGATGTCGGGGGTGGAGGAGAGATGGTGCGTGGTGACGGGCGGAAGGGGATTCGCCGCGCGCCATTTGGTGGAAATGCTTATCAAATACGATATGTTTTCGGTGAGAATTGCTGATTTGGGCGCCACCATTGATCTTGAACCACACGAGGAGCAGGGAATCCTTGGCCAGGCTTTGAGTTCTGGCCGTGCTCAGTATTTCTCCGTTGATCTTCGACACAAGTCTCAAGTACTTCAAGGTCTTTTTTCTTTACTTCTTTTTTATTTATCAAATTGTGTAAATAATAACATAAGATTCTACTATGATATTGAGCCAATGAACTACATGACAAATCACGCATCGCTAATTTACAATTCATATTGCCAAAGTGCCACAATTACTGTAACCGGAATTAATAGTTTCAGTAATTCACAATATCATACAGGATACTGATATAAGTAATGGAACATGAGAAGTAAATAATATCATGTTAATGTTATAACTGGTCTAGTAATGTTAAGGGACAGTACTATGGTACTGTTTTCATTTTACATGGTTGTGATTATGACAGTGCCAATGTTGTTGCAAATATGACGCGTGTTTCTAATAACTGTTTGATCCAGTCAGGTTACCAGGACTTGCATCTTGTATCTTAGATTTTCCCTTATAGAGAAGGAATTTTTTTGATGCATATGTCTGAAATTTTTTAAAAGGGTTATTGAGTTTGTTTATTTCTCCAGCATGTAAAGGAGCTGAGGTCGTGTTCCACATGGCTGCACCCAATTCATCCATCAATAGTTATCAGCTTCATCATTCAGTTAATATTGGAGGTAAGAAATTGTTTGCCATTAGCTATAGGATTTGAACTTTCAGTTCTTGCCTAATGTTTGTGATTTTTTTCTTAATATAAACTCTGATTTGCAGGAACGGCTAATGTTATTGAAGCTTGTATTGAGGGCAAAGTAAAGAGACTCATTTATACTAGCTCCGCTAGTGTGGTTTTTGATGGGATTCATGGAATTATTAATGGGAATGAGTTATTACCATATGCTTCTAAGGTATGCATTTCACCCTCATATTACCTTATCTTGAACACTAGCAATGCTAATACTACCTTATTTAGAACATGTTGAGTTATTGCTTAACCTAAAAATTTAAACTGACAGGTGAAAGTCCTATGTACTATTTTAAGCTCAATCACACCCTGTACCATTTAGTCAACTTGGATGTGCTACCCATGCTAAGTTACATTCTGATGTGTTCCCGTAAATTAGTTTGTTTGTGTTCCTCACTGCAACTGACATGAGCCTTGCTTAATATTTATCTCCAATTGTTTCAGCACATTGATTCATATTCAGCTACAAAAGCTGAAGGAGAGAGGTTGATCATTAAGGCAAATGGTGCTAATGGGCTTCTAACTTGTTGCTTACGCCCCAGCAGCATTTTTGGTCCTGGTGATAGGTTGCTGGTTCCCTCTTTGGTTGATGCTGCAAGGGCAGGAAAGTCTAAGGTACCATTTTTGCTGTCTCTGTTAATTTTAATTTCTTCTTTATTTTAGACATGAGTTCTCTGTTTTTGGGAGCTGTTTTCTAAATTTGTGCTCCATGCCACTAGTGATCCTTTTTCTTTCCCTTTCAATCTCCATGAGATGTCTATAGACTCATTTGATATGATTTTTAATTAAATTATTCTAATAAATAATTAACTTGTAGTATCTACTTCCCCATTTGTAAGATATATGCTACTCATATGACTATGGTTTTTGTAAAATGCACACTATTTTGTTGCTGTTTATTATGTTAACTGCTCTTGTGTTAAATTCCTAAATCCTTCTATTGATGGCACCAAAGCCCATCTCATATAACTCTTTATTACTATTTTGCACTAAATATTTTCATACTTTTGTCACGTGCTTGAGTCTACATTTTGTCCTGATTGCAGTTTTTAATAAACTCTGGCTCCTTGATGAAACCCATTCTGCCTTTATCTAGAAATAATGTAATATCAGTACATTGGAGATTTGGTAATCTTATTTTAAGTAATTTCCAAATATTTTAGATTCAGTATTTTGTGCAACTCAACAAAGTTCTGGTTGGCTACTTTAATCTGGTTTCACCAGTCAGTGTGTTACATTATAAACTATTATCTCTATTTCATGCAGTCTCAGCATAGTTACTTCTTGGATTGCATTTTGACCTGTTTATGTCATTCAAAATAATACCTGATGCTTTTCTGATATATATATTCAACACCTATTCTCATTTTTATCAATTGTATCTAACCTTTCTTGGTGTTTTATGTAATTTATTTTTCTTTTATTTTTGTTTCTATGTTTGTTTTTGTTGATTCATGTTATTGTGACTTCATTGTTACAGGTTATCACACAATCTCCAAATCAGTTTTTCCTAGAAAAAGAAAACAGCTTCTCTATTTTTATACTATCTATCCTATTTTGATGCTAAGAAACTAAATGGT